CCCCCCTCCCAGGTCCCAGCAACTCCCGCTCCCACCCCCTGGCTGGAGCTGCCCCGCCCCCCAGCCCGAGCCCCCTTTATCCCCTGCACACTCTACCCCACTCACCTTGCGCTTCTCCTGCACCCTCCACTCCCTCCCAGCCAATCAGCAGCTGCAGCCTAGGGCACCTAATTACCTAAACCCGCCCTCGACCAATCAAATGTCGCTCAGGCTGCGCTGGCCAATCCCGTGCCGCCTTCCCCCTCCCGGCTGCCAGCCAATGGGAGCGCGCTGAGAGCTTTCTCACTTGGCTCAACGGAACGTCTGAAAGACCGCACCCCCCTTCCACCCAATCAGGGAAGGGAAGGGCATGACGTCAAAAGAAGCCTGGACTCGCCGAGGGTTCCAAAGGCCACACCCCTTCTGGCTCCCACACAATCAGAGAAGGGAGAGAGGATGACGTAAAAAGAGGCGGGCTGACACGCGGCAAAGACCACGCCGCACCCAATCAGGAAGGGGAATGTCTGAAAGACCGCACCCCCCTTCCACCCAATCAGGGAAGGGAAGGGCATGACGTCAAAAGAAGCCTGGACTCGCCGAGGGTTCCAAAGGCCACACCCCTTCTGGCTCCCACACAATCAGAGAAGGGAGAGAGGATGACGTAAAAAGAGGCGGGCTGACACGCGGCAAAGACCACGCCGCACCCAATCAGGAAGGGGAATGATGACGTAGGCGGCTGCCTCTAAAGTTCGGGGGGTCCATATAACACGTGGGGCTGGGAGGGGTAGAGGCTGCCCCATGGGGTTCAACCCACGCTCAATCCCCCAAGGGACTCCCCGCCAGCGGCCTGGGGGGGGGCTGCCCCCGCTCCCAGCTCTCTGCGCCTCTTGATTTTTGGGGGGCCCCTCCAAAGTCGAGGTCCTGGGCCGCTTCCCCTTGTGCCCCTGCCACTGAGACCCCCACGGGGCTGCGGCACCAGGACCCTTGTTCCTGAGCCTTCCCCTCCACCCACTGCCACTAAACCCTGCTGCCCCTTGTGTGGCTGGGGAAACTGAGGGGCACAGTGCAGGGTCTCAGGCGAGGGCCCCCAGCAGTCTTGGGTCCCTGTCCCTATGCATCCAACACATGGGCTGAACCAGGTTCGAGAACTACAGAGGGATTGGGGGGGGTGGAAGAGACACTCAAATTTGGCAGCCTGGAAGCACAAGAGCTAGATGCAATGAGCCAGGATTTGGGGGGTAGTTTTGGGGGGGAGGGGAATAGGAAGGCAGGCTAGATCACCAGCCCTGCTGACAGACCCCCTCCTTGCAGCTCAGAATCCCCACCTTTGAATGAGCAGAGGTGGGGGGCGGCAGCTTTTGGACCTTTCTGGTAGAAACCCCCAGGGGGCCAAGGAGCTGTTTCTTGGGGTCCCCCCATTCAGGCCTGAAAAGGGGGGTACAAAGTGACGATGCCAGACCAGCTCCAGGCAAGGCAAGTGTCAGAACACACGCACCCCCGTCCCATGGCCCTTTTGCACTGGGAAAAGTGCTTTGTTGAAAACTTCCCCCTCGCCCATGGTTCAGTACCCAGGGACCCCCTTGTGGGGGGCTGAGGAAGAGCCAGGGCTCACCTTTGCAGATGACATTTTAGTCCAGAAAAATAAAGTTTTATTAGAAACTGGCCCTAGAAAAAGATTCCCAGCCGTGGCAGGGGCAATGCGGCTCAAATAGACCCCAACCCTGAGCATCTAGCAGCAAGGGGGAGTCACCTGCTTGTGCTCCACATGGGGCAGAGAAGCCCTCAGGCCACTGAGGACTGTGTTGGGGGAAATCAGTGCAGGGAGGAGGCCGCTACAGCCGGCCCCCCCCTTGTGTCTCTGGTGGGGGGCTAGAGAAACCCCCTCAGCCCGATGACAAAGGTCAGAATGAACCAGTGGGCGCTTTCAGAGCCAGGCTCCAACTCCTAAAGCCTCAAGCCAAAAGGTCTGGAGATATAGGCACCCACTGTGCAAAAGGGAAACTGAGTCACACAGTGGAGAGGGGGGGCTCGAGCAGAGCAGGGTTAGGGCCCAGGGACTGCCCCCTCCCCCCTTGATTTGCCTGTAAAAGGTCAAAAGAGAGAGGGGTTCTGAGATATGGGCGGAGCCCGCCAGAGGGACAGAGTCAGTATAGCAGGAGGGACGTAAATGAGGTGACGGGGGAGGAGCCTGTCAAAGAGGGCGGAGCTTGTAAACAATATTCCTGAGGGCAGCTGCCGTCTATACTCCTGAGTGTGACAGTGGCCCCGCCCCCATTTAAGGGCACAGAAGCAATACAGTATCCAGGCTCGGCAGTGAGGTCGCCTTGCTCTGGAGACAGGCAAAGAAGGGGGCTAGAGGTGTGATTGGGGGGGGATACAGGAGGAGAGGTTTGCTGAGGGAGGTCTGGTCAGATGGGGAGAGCATGTGGGGGGGCAGTGTGGG